GAATCATCGACTGCAAACTAGCCACCCACGTTCCTTCGTTGCCACTTAAGTTCGGATTTTGTAAAAGGATCAAACTTACCAAATCTCTCCGATTACTGAATGACCGTAAAATATCGGCCATATCCTCACCGGCTGAGGACATCTTAATGCTCAGTTGTATGCCATCATCGCATGGCTGTACAGACAAACTACCAAAATCACAATCCACCAGATCCACCATGCGACTGACTGATTGAGCGACGCATTTTACATCGCGACTGTTTAAGTCACAATCACTCATTTCGAGCTTCTTTAGATGAATCATCGACTGTAAACTAGGCGCCCACGTTTCGGCGTTACCACACAATCCGTTATTGTCCGAAAGATTAAGACCGGCCAGCTTTTGCATTTCTCCAACCCAAAATGCAATATGTGGTATATCTTGTTCATTTATGTTACATGATTTCAAATCAAGAGATTTTAAGTGAATCATCGAATGCAAACTACACGCCCACGTATCTGCGTTATCACCCAAGTCTACATTGTATGATAGGTCAAGATCGGCCAGGTTTGGCATCTCTCCAACCGATGATGCAATATCGATTACATCGCGCGGTTTAAAGCCACATTCCACTAAACGGAGTGTTTTGAGGACTTTTTGCCCTCGGAAATGGACCGCCCTGTATTTCCCAGTCAAGTTACTTGCAGTCCGATATAATGATAACAGTTCAGCAACATTGCTACCAGTAAGTTTGCATGAATCGAAATGCAATTCGTGGAGATTTTTGATTGTGGTCAAACGTGAAGCTAGGACTTCACTCAAACTGGACAGGTCACACCTAGAAAATTTAACGCGACGTACTTTAGCAAGATATTCTACTCCGGAGAGCTCTGTCTGCTCGGCAACATGCTTCAGTAACCAAACGAGCGAGTTCAATGAGTCGTTGCTATAGCTATCTATCTGCATAGATTCAGTGAAAAACGATTCAATGAAACTGTTTGATAACAAATATTTTGATTGACTTTCAAAGTAGCAACTTAGGGCCAGTTTCGTCACTCCATCGTGATTTGGATTTTCGTGCAGCATCTGCAATATATGAGTTGTACATTGTTGTTTAACACCGCGGCAGAAGCGCAACACGTACTCTAAATTCATAGGATCCCGAATTTTATCGAGAATCTTCTGAAAGTTTCCATCGCCTTTGCCTAAAAGCCACTGACAGTACATAGCTGCGCAGTATTCTTGAAGTGTCTTATGAATAAACTGCACGTTATTGTGTTTTTCAAGCCACTTCATGACCCTCTTACTAGTGAGGATACCCGCTTTTAATGCTTTGTCAAGTACACTCTTCTCAAACTCTCCCTCTTGAAATGAAAGCCTTTGCTCTGGGGAAACAAGCCCTTCTAAAGCAACTTTGCCGATTGCAATCACTACCTCCGATATTTCTTTTTCTGATAATTCAGGCATCTTTCTTCGAAATATGTAGCTAATTGCCTTACTGAACAATTTTGATAAAGTATCGGGTAGTGTTGCCTCTTCCCTCCATAAAAGACACATGAGAAGGAGTAGCATGGGGCTCCTTGCTAATTCAGACAGGACATCGGATGATTGAATCCTTTCAAGAAGTCCCCCAACCATATGACGTTTTTTAGAAAAAAATTTGTTCACATACTCTTCAATATCTTCCATCCTAAAGCCAAGAACATTCACGTGTGTAAAAGGTTTAGTAATGAGTGATTTGTTTGTCAATTTACCAAAGTGGGATGGTCTTGTTGTTACAACTACAAAACATTCTTTGCCAAATTTTCGATTGAGCATTCTTAGAATAGGACCAAACGTCTTTGGTTCGAGATAAGTTGTCCTAAATTCATCAAAACCGTCTATGAGAATCAGCACTCTACTACCATTGTTCTGAATGAATCCTTCCAAATCACGCTTTTTAACCTTTGTGTCGTCGGATAAAAGTTGATCAAAAACTGACTCAACAAGATCCGAAGTTTGGTCGAGAGCGGACATTTTCAAAACAAACAAAAGTGTGAATTTTCTAAGTAAAATGGAGCCAACCGCCCAGTCGTATGCAATTTTGTCAATAATGGTCGACTTACCCAACCCAGGTAACCCACACAAAATGACGCGTTTAATCACTTTCCCGTATTTTGTAACGAAAAAAATGTCCCCATACTCATTAACATGCCCCTCTATGTCATCCTGGTCACCCTTTTCTAATTGCAACTCTGTATATATATCCATAATATGTTTCATGTCATCATCGACCCAGGGAATAAACTGAACGTAACTACCTGTGGTAGTATACCGGTCTTTTAATTCACTCCTGCACTGATCCGCAGCATCATCACTCGGACTGGATTGTGCTTTTCCCGTCTCGGCTGTTAAAGGAAAAGAGGCAACATTAGGAGTGTATGGCAGCGGCGGCACTTGCAATGGGTTCAAATGGATTCATGATTTGTCTTCCTGTTGATGTTTCTTAAGGCTAATTTATTGGCTTGATATGTTTGTTTGTTTGTAAAATGCAATTTTTCTGGCAGCGGGTCTATACAAAAATGTTATGTCTTGATTTCCCTCTTTCCCACAAGTACTCTTAGCGAATAATTTTTTTCTCCCGATCAGTCAATTTTGCTTGCCAGTTTAGCACAGTGCAAGGGTGGCCTACCAAAAACTAATTTGCCGAACTGTGTCTTCTGGCAGAAGATAAAAGAACACTGACGTTTTGATCATCTACTAGCAACTGTACTACAGGCTACACATGCGCATCTCTAAGGAAGAAATTAATGCACTGCCATGATTAACGCACCAGTCTTGTTGGATGTAGTTATTGTTGGATGCAGTTATTTGTGTCGTATCCCAGTAGGATCTCGTAGAATGCAGTTTCCTGTGCCCAGTTCGCCTTCAATATACACGTATGTCGAGTTGGTGGTTCCATATGTAACACCAATAATAAACTGGTGGTTCCACATGTAACACCAATAATAAACTGGTGGTTCCACATGTAACACCAATAATAAACTAGACAATAGTGCTATTAATTGAGAGGTCTGCCCGAACCCAAAAATCTTGACTGTAAGATTTTACTGAAAAATTTGCAAATTGGGTCCCTTGTAAAAGCGTGCTGTTTAGGTTAATTCATTAACAGAAATCGTCATGCGAAATTCCGATATAAAAACTGATTTAATAGGATCTCATTCTGCCATTCAAATCACAACTGATTATTGAGTTCCTCTTGCCACTATTAGTTTTAACACACTCGATAAGGCTGCGTACCTGTCAAAATCCTTTTGGGTACTTTTTCTTCGTTCACCAAAAAAATTGTGAAATTTGTATGAAATGGAAGTGTACGATTTGCAAAACTTTCTTCAGTTACTGAGCGTACCTGATGTGCCCCGAACCAAGTCGTTCCTGCCTGAATCAATCAGAGCCTTCTCCAACGTCCGCCATGCTTCCGTGTAATTGTCCTGCTTTCTCCACCATGCGCTTAACATCTCAAAGCACTGCCTTACAACATTGTTGGAATGATTAGCCTTAATGGTGCCAATATGTTCTTTTGAACATTTCAAGTATAAGGCCAATTTTTCCCAGTCTGCTGCAATCTTCTCAGATTGTTTCCAGATTGCTCCGTCGTCAGGTAGAGCATCTATAAATGAATAAAATGCAAGTACACCATAAATAAAACGCGTACAGCTTTAGAAGTCATTATTATTGTTAGAATGTATTCTCTTGGAGAGACTGAGATAATCCTGAAAAAACAGGTTGTAACCTTCCAACTGTACTGCAAGAGACATGGAATTTTTATGACGCTATTTGAAATCGTCTGACATACTAAATAGCTCAGTTTCATGATGTCTCATTCACGCATATATTTATATTAACGTTAAGGATTTTTACCAGTCTGACGCAGAAAAAAATCTTCCTGCCACATTTCAGTCAATGTTTAGGAACCGAGAACAAGTCCACTCGCAGACCGGATACGTTCGCGCGCAAAAGGAACCATGAATTAGCCGTTTGCAGCCGCCCAAATAAAGTCGTTACATCTTACTTTACACTTTAGACGAAACGAGCAATACATTTTAACGAAAATGTATACCTAACAGTACAAAGGGAAACAACGAATGAAATTCAGGGGAGAGAACATACAAAATATTGGATTCCGTGTAATTAGTTACCTGATCTGCTTTCTGTATCAGTCACTCCCACAGCCCCTCCCATTTGTACCTCTGGTTGAGAGTCGTCTCGATGACCAATTTCATTCCGTTTCGGTCTCTGGTCCTGAGATAATGAAGCCTCGTTCTGCTTTCTCTGTTCTTTGGCCCCTCCCACTTGTATCTCTGGTTGATGTTTATCTTGATAACTCTCTAATTGCCCATGCCTCGGTCCATGTACTTCCGATGACGTCGTCCCCTTTTGAGCGTTCTTCTCGAATTCCCTCATTTTCAGCTTTGTCTGTTGAAGCTCCTGACTCTGTCTATGTTCCTCATTAGATTGTTTTGTCTGTTTCTGCTTGCCCTGTTCTTGAAAAACTACTCCTTGTTCATGGAGCTGAGGTTTTTCTTGTTCAGCAACTTCCTCCTGTCCCGGTCTTGGTCTCTCAGTTGATGTACTTACTTTCTGCTTGTTCTGTTTTTGAGCTCCCTCCACATCTACCTCCGATTCAGGTTTGTCAAGATTACTTACTTCCTCCTGTCTAGGTTTCAGGTCCTCAGATGATGTAGTCATTTTCTGCTTGCTCTGTTCTTTAGCCTCTGCTGCTTGTACTGATGGTTTGCGTGTGTCTTGATGACCACCTTCATCCTGCCTCGGTCTCTGTGCCTGAGATGATTTAGTCCCTTTCTGCGTGCTCCTTTCTTTAGTTGGAGCCACAAGAATCTCTGTTTGAGGTTTTATTCGTTGACTAACTTCCTTTTGTCCCGTTCTCTGTCCCTCAGATGATGTAATCCCTGTCTTCTTGCTAGTTTTGTCTTGATTACCACAAAACTCCTCCTCATGTCGTCTGTTCTGTCCCTCAAGTGACATTTACCTTTTCTGTTTGCTGTGATATTTAACCTTTTCAACTTGTTGCGGTTTATCTCGATAATCATCTAATTGGCCATGCCTCAATCCACATTCTTTGGATGAAGTCATCTCCTTCTGAGCGTTCTTCTCAAATACCTGTAGTTTCTGCTTTTTCTGTGGAAGCTCGTGACTCGGTGTCCGTTTTTGTTTGACCTGTTTTTTAATAAGTTCTCCTTGTTCGTGTATCTGAGGTTTGTCTATTTTAGCAAGTCTCTCCTCTCTTGATCTCTTTCCCTCAGGGAATGCAGTCTCTTTCTCATCGCTCCGTTTATTCGCCCCTCCCACTTGAACCTGTAGTTGACGTTTGTCTTGATGACCAACTTTCACCTTTCTCCATCTCTGAACCTCAGATGATGTAGTCGCTCTCTCCTGTACTGATGGTTTGGGTTTCTCTAGGTGACCAACTTCCTCCAGTCTTGGTCTCTGCTCTTCAGATGTTAAAGTCCTTTTCCGCTTTTTCCGTTTTTTAGCCCGTCCCACTTTCATTTCTTGTTCAGGTTCGTCTTGATACCCAACTTCCTCCTGTCTCAATCGCTGTCCCGCAGATATTGAAGTCAATTTCTGCGTGCTCTGTTTTTCAGCCCCTCTCTTTTGTACTGATTGTTTGGGTTTCTCTACATGACCAACTTCCTCCTGTCTCAATCTCTGTTTCTCAGATGTTGAAGTCCCTTTCCGCTCTCTCTGTTCCTTAGTCTCTTTGTCTTGTACTGATGGTTTGGGTTTCTCTAGATGACAAAGTTCCTTCTGGCTTTGTCTCTGTTCCTTAGATGGTGATATGCTTTTCCGCTTTCTCCGTGTTTTAGGCTGTCCCACTTTCATGTCTTGTTCAGGTTTGTCTCCATACCAAACTTTCTCCTGACTTGGTCTCTGTTCCTCAGATGTTGAAGATCGTTTCCGCTTCCTCCTTTTTTTAGCCCGTCCCACTTTCATCTCTTGTGCAGGTTTGTCTCGATACCCACATTCCTCCTGTCTCAATTTCTGTTCATCAGATGTTGAAGTCCCTTTCTGCTCTCTCTGTTCTTTAGCCTCTCTCCCTTGTACTAATGGTTTGGATTTCTCTAGATGGCCAACTTTCTCCTGTCTCAATCGCTGTCCCGTAGATATTGAAGTCCATTTCTGCGTGCTCTGTTCTTCAGTCCTTCTCTTTTGTACTGATGGTTTGTGTTTCTCTACAAGACTAACTTCCTCCCGTCTTGGTCTCTGTTCTTCAGATGTTAAGGTCCCTTTTCGCTCTCTCTGTTTCTTCGCCTCTCTTTCTTGTATTGATGGTTTGGCTTTCTCTAGATGACCAAGTTCCTCCTGTCTCGATCTTTGTGCCTTAGATGTTGAAGTCCTTTTCCGCTTTCTTCGTTTTTTAGCCCGTCCAACTGTCACATCTGGCTCAGGTTTGTCTCGATATCCACATTCCTCCTGTCTCAATCTCTGTTCCTCAGATGTTGAAGCCCCTTTCTGCTCTCTCTGTTCTTTGGTCCCTTTCTCTTGTAGTGATGGTTTGGCTTTCTCTAGATGGCCAATTTCCTCCTGTCTCAATCTCCGCTCCTTAGATGTTGAATTCATTTTCCGATTTCTCCTTGTTTTAGCCCGTCCCACTTTCATCTCTTGTTCAGGTTCGTCTCGATACCCAACTGCCTCCTGTCCCTGTCTCTCAGATGATGTAGGCCTACATGCAGTATCTTTCTGCTTAGCCTGTTCTTTAGCCCCTCCCATCTGAACTTCTTGTCCGGATTTGTCTGGATGAAGCTGAAATTGTCCATGCCTCGTTCCGTGTTCTTCAGCTGATGTCATTACATTTTGAACATTCTTTTCAAATTCTTCTAGTTTCTGCTTTTTTTGTGGAAGCTCTTTACTCGGTCTCTGTTTCTCAATAGATTGCCATGTTCGTTTCTGCTTGCCCTGTTCTTTCACAAATACCCCTTGTTCAGGTATCTGAGGTTTGTCCTGTTCAGTAATTTCCTTCTGTCTTGGTCTCTGTCCACAGGATGTAGGCCCTTTCTGCATGTTCTGTTTCTTAACACCCTCCATTTGCCCCATTGTGTTAGGATTGACTAGATGACCAACTTCCTCCTGACGCGGTCTCTGACCCTCTGATGATGTAGTGCCTTTCTGTTTGTCTTGTTCTTTAGTCCCTCCTGTTTGTATTGATGTTCTGGCTTTCTCTTGGTTAACAATTTCTTCCTGTTTCATCCTCTGTCGCATATCTGATGGAATCATGAAGGCCAGCTCTTCACGCCCGATTGAATTTAACGCATCTCTCAAACTCTGAAATCCTTCCTCGCGATTTGTTTGCTTTCTCCTCCAAGAAAGCAGCATCTTAAGGCTCCTTTCTTTGTCGTCTTGGAAGGTGGTTTGGATTTCCTTGATTTCTGCTTCTTCATATCCCAGGGATTTGGCCAACTTTTTCCAGCACGTTTCGGTTTTCGAAGCCAAGTCCCGGAAGAACGGATCATCAGCAAAATGATTGCCTGCCAAACAAAAAGAAACCTTTTCGTAAGGATAAAAGTGCAATGCATTTATTATTTTATTTATTATTTCACTTTCATTAAGTTGTCTATCTTTGGGAGGCAAATGCAGGGTAAGGTGAGACATTACAGCAGAGGAGGTGGCACATTAAGTTTGATCGCTCTTTAAATATAAGCTTTTATACGTTTTTTGCACCAGTGCTCCTCATAATGCAACCCCCCCCCCCCAAAAAAAGAGAAGAGGCTAACGGTCAATCATGTTCTCATCATTGCACTTTTCAGGAAACATTTTCCAATGCAGTTGCTTATGCTTCCCCCCCCCCGTGACTTTCAGAGGAGGATGTGGTATCTCCGGCCCGTGAAGGTAACAAGCCCGCAGTTTGTTCCCCATCTGTAAAGATACTGTACATGTTTTCCATGAGCATTTACCTTTTCGTCCACCGCCCAGTAGGCCATCGGTACACAGACGAAGTGAGATGTTCTCGTCCTGTTGAATTCCATAGTCGTGTAGTGTCAGCAAGTTACAGAGCTGAAAAACAATTTTTATTATCCTGATATATCACACTCTTTGGAACCTTTTTTATCATGAGACTAAATCGGTAGTGCTAAAACCAGCAAACTTAGTGCTAAAACACCATTATACTGGCATCAGAGGTAGCACTATTTTAACATACACGACTGATGTTATTTGAATCAAAAGAGGTTATCACTAAAACCCACCATGCGTGGCCTTTAATTCGATGGAATGTAATGGTAATTTCGTTATGGCTACTTTTAAAATATGAAGCCAACCCTACCTCTAAGTTACGGAAATTTCTTCGAATGAACAGTCGCTGTTGTTGAGACTGGACACTGATTTTCTCCTCTATTTTCTGTTTCAAAGTTGATACGGAAGTCTGTGGATCTATTTGTAAACAAAGCGTAGTTGGTTTTTGGAGGAGGTGACCTCGAATGAAGACCTGCAGTGCCACATATCTGAAACTGTTAGAATGGAAGTTTTGCATTTTAAGGGCTTTTAAATAGTTATAATTTTTTTTTCTTAAGTACCTAAATGAAGATTAAGTCCATCAATTATTCTTGTAAAACGTTCTCTATTGACACCAATTTTAAAGTGATTGTAATCAAACGGAGTTTAGTATACAATGCAACATTTGAAGAGCTTCATTGGCTTAGGTAATTCGTCAAACACGAGGTGCATTACGAACAGGAGCGTGTAATCGTGTTTTACCAGATAAGCCGAGGTTTGTCTTGATCACCAACTTGTTCCTTCTTCAATTTCCCCTCCTCGGTTGATGCCGCTCCGTTTTGTTTGCTCTCCTTGTCAACTCCTACATCTTGACGTCTTTCAGGCTCGGGTCCAGCTGCTTCGTCTCTCGATTCGCTCACTACTGATGTAAGAAGGAAAACAGAGTGATCATAATTTTATTGTTTACTAATTGTTTTAAACTATCTCTACTGTTGTTTTTTTTAAATTAAGAGTCATTTCGTGTAAATACTTCATATCAAAATAGACTTTTTAAACCGATATTTTGCCCGTTGCCATGATTACGGGCCATTATTAGTTTTGGCCATTCTGAGGCTGCAAAAATTCATTTTTTTTCGTTATTTTCAAAGGTCATCAAGCCAAACTGCGAAGTAATGTCACAAAAGTAACTATATCACGACAAAGTATCATCCTTACCCTTACAAGAAAAAATAGAAACGCTTCTGAAAATCTCCTTTATATTATTTGTAGGCCCTATAATACAGCATGTTTTAACAACTAGCAAAATTGCATTTTTTTACCCCATTTTTATCCCTCCAAGTGGCACTTGCCAGGGCACTCAGAATAATTTCCCTTCGTCTATGGTTAGTTCAGACATTGGTCTTTTCATATCTGGTAAGAAAATTTTGGGTTATTGTATATCCTTTGTGCAGTAGCACTCCAAAATGGTAAATTTTAAAAAACCTTAAAAAGTGTATTTTCAGTGTTGTCCTTTGTTTTGAGTAACAACTTGTATAATTGTATTGTTCTGGAATCTAGCACATTTTCACAAACAGAGCCGGACTGTGTATCATTTTTAGACCAGTGGATGAATAATAGATCGTGTACTCCCCCACACCTAGCTAGGCCCACCCACTCCCCCTGTGCCACCGAATTTTGAACTTGTATGTTTCATAACGAAACAAATGTAAATAAATGATATGCAAGTGAACGCTTTAGAAATTACATAGACTTCCTTTTCACAGCCTCCCCTTCCCCCACCCCGGGGGGGGGGGGGCATTGCTTGGGGTTGAGGGTGGGGTGTGACCACCCACCAATAACTTGGCTTTGTCGGTAAAATCATTGTCACATGGGCAAAACTCATGTGTTTGCAAGCCGCAATGAATAATAATGGCCATATCCATTGTCCTCTAATTGAAGTGCATTCATTAATAAAAATAAAATGATGTCTAGTCCTCCCCTCCCAGCTAGGCCCCGCCCCTTCCCTTGCCACCAAATTCAGATTGCTACTTGTATTTGCCTACATTAACATTTTAAATAGGTATAAATTTGCAAGTGAACTTTCATAATTTACACCTACAGGCGTACCCGCCTCTTAGCTCACCCTCATGCCACCCCTCTTCCTATTCCAGTGTTCATTAGGAGCAACGACCCCTCCCCTTCCTAAAGAAATCCACATGTTTATATGCACTAATGTAAAGATTAGTCTTAAATCACTTCTGAATATAAGAAATCTGCTCGTTCGCATTTTAGCTCACCCGGTACATTTTGGGCCAAGTCAGTCAACCCGATGGCCTCTAATGCTCGTCTCAGCTTCTGAGCTGCTTCGTCGCGATCTGTCGTCTTTTCCCACCAAGTGAGTAGCATGTGACGTCTCTGTTCAGTGCTGCTTTCGTTGGTGGTTTGGATGTCTGCAATTTCCGCTTCTTCATATCCTAGGTGTTTAGCCAAATCCTTCCATGATGATTCGATTTTTGAGGACAAGTCCTTGAGGTACTCATCATCAACGCTGGCTTTGTCTGCCAAAAGAACGTTCCAAGTGAGCCTTCAGTTACATACTTTGAAGTGCATGCACTACATTACACTATAGAGTGAAACACCCCCCCCCCAAAAAAAAAAAATGAAATAAAAAAAATAGGCAAGCCTTAAATTTGCGCCTTTTTTAAAACGTGGTCTGTGAATTTTTATGTTTTGGATATCAAAGTAAAGCTGAGGGTTTTCTTCTTTCAAATATACTAGAAAAAATAATGAAAACAGTACATTAGGCTGCAGAGATGTAAAAGATGTGATTTTTTTTTCATCTGTTGCAATGGTGCTTGAAACAGCGTTCATTCGTGTAATTTCTGTAATATTTTGACATTTATGATGCTGAAAAGGTGTAAAATAGGACTAAAGAAGATAAGATACCTTTTGAGTTTGAAAATGAATGGAATTGCCATCATTATGTGCCGTGTTGTTTGTAAGGATTACAACACAATGCGCTACATGCATTTCATGCACAATTGAGGTAAAGTGTAAATCCCTTAACTGTGGTAATGCCATTCGAATGGACCAAAAAGGAGTTGTGTTACAGAATTGGCATTTTTTTCAGCAACCCAATGTGCTGTTTTCGTGATGTTTCAGTATTGAAAGGAAAAAAAAAAACCATCGGCTTTAATCTGATATCCTAAACATAAAAATTCACATATCACGTTTTTGAAAAAAAGCAAATGTTTCAGGGTTGCAATTTTTTGGAGGGGAGAGTCACCCTGTATTAGATATTAGTGGTGAACTTTTTAAACTACAGTAACAACAAACGTTGTCATTTACCTCTTGGTACATTGTTGTTATCCTGCTCATCTAGTGATAGACGGAGAGAGATGATTTCCTTCGTGTCGACACCATTCTCTTCAAGTGTGAGTAAGTCACAGAGCTACCAAAGTGGATTATTAATATGCCGTAAGTTACATGATTCTGGGAAAACATAGGGGATTTCAGTTTAAAGATAGTGGATTTCAGATTTGTTTATCTTTTAAACGTGTAGCAAATTGATTTATTTCGTTTTAAGCTTAGTTCGGGGGGAGGGATTGTGATTGTCATGATTGTGGGCAGTTTGTCATAAATAAACAAATTGTTGATTAAATATGGAAATGTGAGATTTTGCGTTGTATATTATGAAATTCCACAAAACGAAAAAAAAATCTAGGTGGACCTTTTGGATATTTCGAATTATCGAAGTGCATGTACGGCATCTTTATTTTGAACAAGAGTATATTTACCTGGACATTTTCCCTGATGTACAGACGCTGATATTGTGCCTCCACACCGATCTTCTTCTGGATTACCTCTTTCAGAGATGAGACGGATGTCTCAGGACGGAGTTCGAAATAAAGTGTCTTGGGCTTAAGTGGGATGGGAGTCCGGACAAAGACCTGCAGTTTCTGTTTTACGTCTTTGGAATCACTGCGAAAATAGGGGAGAAATTCTGTGTAGATTGAGAATTGCATTATTCTACACAAGCTATATTCAAAGTCACATCCACTGTCATGAGTCTATGAAAAGAATTGCATAGGTTCACTCAACTTTTACCCTAGTAGCCAGAAAGAGTCAATGATTAAACAAACCCTTCGATGTTAAGTTACAATTATCATATGACCCTCAATTGAAATGAATAAATGTCATCACTGTTTACCTCTGACTTTCATGTGTCTTCTTTGATTGTCTTCGAATCCTTCGTTTCGATGGTCTCCTCTTTGCACAGCAATCATCAGAAGACGTTTTCCTATAATGCAGTACAGATAGGAAAGCTTGCTTCCTCCTTTGTTTGACTTTAGTCTTCCTGCTGATGAGTTTGGCGTTAGAGTGGTCGCACACGAAGGCTGTTGCCTTAATGTATGCATCCAACTGCTGAACGGTCTTTCGCGGCATCTTGGTAGTAATCAGCACCAGTTAAAGGATCGTTACTGAAAGAGCATGAAAGAAAAAATCACTGTTAGAACCAGTGTAATACTACCCACCGTCTCTGGGGAGCTGTCTAAAGCCGTTTCACCGATTCGGCTATCTTTAGTGGGCAATTAAATATCATCACGTCCCAGCACGTAGATAACACTATACGGCGTGCTAGAGCATGTGAGTTGACTTGAGACTGCATGGTTTGTGATTGACTGATGATGCGCTTATGATGAACTTGTGATGGACTTAGGATGGACTTTTGATAGACTTATGAGGGACTTGGGATGGACTTGTGGTTGACTTGTGATAGACGTATGATAGACATGTCATTGAGTTTTGATAGACTTGAGATGGACCCGGACCACCATCAGGAAAGTCCACATTTGAGATAAAAATATAAAATTTAACACAATTATGCATTTTAAGTACATGTGTGTACATGTTAACAACTGTATTTAGAAAATGCAAATTTACACCATATCATGTACATTTCTTTCAAACGCCACGCAAATCAGACAATTCAACATTGGGTTTTGCCCTTCACTGCCGTTATTACATGAGCACTTTGTACTCAGAGTTCAAGAGTATTAATTCAGAAAAACAAATTCCTTCAGGAGCAGTGTCCCCTTCTCCACCATCCCCACTCAAAACCCCCGAAACTGAAATACCTCTGCTTAAAACATTTTCCTGCTATTTCTCTTTTGGTCAGTTTCACGGCAAAAATGCAATCTACACTGTGTAACGACAAATCCTCATCATGTCTTGTGAAGTTCCATCTCCATTTTACCTCTACCAGACTGTACGAGTTTGCTACATCCACTTTTCATTATTCAGAAGAAACAAATTATTTCAACTTAACGATGTCGATCAAAGAAAGAAAGAAACAGTTATGGAAAAATCAGGAAATGGACGGATATGATGTTGCAAGTGCAACGTACCTAATGTTTACGCCCAGTTTCATATTTCCGCATACCGATTTTGGAATTGCCCTGATGTAATACTACTATTAATATATTTTTACAATGTGGGCAACTTCCCAGTGCGCGTGCGCAGTACCGCCCTGTAAACATGCCAGGTTCCCGGACCAGTTTTCCAAAGAACCTCGCCGCCGCCGGCGCCGTAGCGTCGTATGAATACAAACTAGCAAATGCTGGGAAGTACAAGCAAACAGCAGAAGCATTTACATATGAGTACAATTCAATTTCTTTTGCTGTTCAGCATCCAGACAGCAGGTTCGAACGCTAACTTATTTGATAGATTGCACGGACGAATGGTTGTCAACAAAAGGGTCTCTTGCGTGTGTGCGTGCGAATTGGCACACACATGGTTTACATGTAGGGCAAGCGACTCCAAATCATCAAGGTGATGCATGCAGTACAGTAGCTAGATTGAGACTTCAATCCAACGCAAATGATATATTTTCACAATTTACAGAGTGCAGAGTGTACTTTCATAAAAAAAAACCGTAAAGCGCATTGTGGATGAGGTTACAGTTGCCTATACTTAATCACCCAGAAATATGTTTCAGTTCCTAAAATCATACCCAAAAAATGTGATGTTGAAAAACAATATTATATTACTGAATAATGTGGACGCTTATATCATTTCGTTCAGTTCCTGATTGCCGTTTGAAGGACTCAATCTCTTTCATTCATGCTTTTCAGTAAAAGCCTTTGCTTTATTTTCATCCACACACATCGAGTAAATGCTAAATTGGTAGACTATAGAAGCAAATGGTAGTTTTTACTCAACCGACCCACTGACTCTCAAATCTATGACTTCTGGGATCACACACAAAAGAATGTCATCCAGCCCTCATATACCGGGGAAATGTTCCAGTCAAAACGAAATCAAACCCCACTAATTGTTTACATCACAGGGCGCACTTTCAAAAGGAAAACAATATTACATTTTACACTGCAAATTAGTATAAAGTACATGTTTGTTTTATTATGTTTGAAAGTGCCTCATGCTGTTACCGTCAATTGAGGGCGCCGTTTCTGTGATGTTGCTTGTGGGCATAGACTGGTCAGGTTTAGGGATTTAAGTTCACAAAGAGGGTGAGTCCATGATGTGGTACATGAAGAACATCCGACACTCGTGAACAGATTGAAAACAAATGAAGCAGCAGTTACAGAAAGTTGATACGGCAGAAATCTCCAAATGTCGGCAACTTGGTGCTCAAACATCTGTGACTCGGTTTTAAATTATGTTAAACCTCATTTTCAAAAGCAGTGCCCAACATAATGGGAACGAGGTAGCTCCTGCCTTCAGATCAAATGACATTACATTAAAAAAAAAAGCCCCGAAAAAAACATAAATCCGGCAAGTCAAAAAAAGGTGAAATTTTACACAAGTATGCATGTCCATACATTCCAACAATTGCATCATACTAGTGTAAAAATCGGTTTTCTTTTTTTTCTTTTTTATTGATTAAACCCTCTCACGTTACTGGTCTCTCTCTCTAAATAATATGCTTGAGCATGCGCAATACCACCAATGAGTCAGTATTTCACAAAACCTAAATTCACGCTACACCGGCATTTACAAAATACATCATAGCATGTACATTTATTTTAAACGACCGTAATTAAGAAATATTAACGTTGGGTTTGACCCTTCGCTGCCCGAGTAACGTATGCTCAGAGCTGTCCAAGTAATAATTCAGAAAACAAATCCTTTCAGGAGCAGTGTCGACTGCCCCTCCCCCCCCCCCCCACCTCAGGACAGAAATACCCCTGTTCATATTATTTCAGGGCCTACATGTTAACTCTCTTGCGGTCAGTCTCACGTCAAAACTGCGCTCTAAACTCTGTGACGACAAACCCCCATCAAGTGTTTGTAAAATTCTATCTCCATTCTACCTGTACCAAAGTTGGCGGGTTTACTACTTTCAAAGTACGTTAATCAAAAGAAACCAATTATCAAGACTGCACGATGCCGATCGAAGAAGGGAAGAAACAGTCATGGAAAAATCACGACATTGTACACGCATTATGATGTTCCTAGTGCAACGTACCCTATTTACGCCCAGTTTTCCCTATACTTATTTTGGAATTGCCCTGATGTAATGCTACTATTAATACTTTTAACAATGAGGGCAACTTCACAGTGCGCGTGCGCAGTACCGCCCTGTAAACGTTCCTGGTTCCCGGACCCTCCATTATCGATTCTGAATTCAAACGTAGCGGGAACCAGTCATCCAAAGAACTTCGCCGCCGTAGCGTCGTAATAATAAAAAACTAGCAAATGCTAGGAAGTACAAGCAAACAGCAAAAAAAAAGGAAAAAATATTAAATTTTACACTGCAAATAAGTATAAAAGAACATGTTTGTTTTATTATGTTTGGAAGTGCCTCATGCTGTTACTGTAAATTTAGGGTGCCTTTTCTGTGATGTTGCTTGTGCGCATAGACTGGTCAAGTTTAGGGATTTAAGTACACAAAGTATGAGACCATGATGTGGCTCATGAAGAACATCCGACACTCGTGTACAGATTGAAAACAAATGAAGCAGCAGCTACAGAAAGTTGATACGGCAGAAATCTCCAAATGCCGGCAACCCTTGGCGCTCAAACATCTGTTTCACAGAGGCCTCAGCCTCAGCCTCGTCCACAAATTCTAATTTATTTTTAACCCCATTTTCAAAAGCAGCGCTCAACATCATGGGAACGAGGTTGCTCGTGCCTTCAGATCAAATGACAATAACAATTTTTAAACTTGTATTAGCATGCAATAAAAAAAACTGAAAAAGATAGAAATCCGGCAAGTCAAAAAATGTGAAATTTAACACAAGTATGCAGTTGATGTCCATACATTTCAAAAATTGCATTAGACTCGTGCAAAAATCGGACTCCCTTTTCCTGTTATTGGTTAAACCCCCTCACGTGACCAGACCCTCTCCTAGTTATCTGTGCGTGGGCATGGGCGTCGCCCCCCCCCCCCGGAAAAGCAACCACAAGAGAAAAAAAATGAAAAAGGGGGGGGATGAAAGAAAAAGAGGCGCGAAGTCATATTGCTGGCAATTAATGTCCCTGCCCACCCTCGAAAAATGATCAATCGAGAATATGCTGGAAAAGTAAAGTGATTTCGGGGTGGAAGGGGGGGGGGCTTGGCCCCCTCTAGAAAAAAATCCTGGCGACGCCCATGTGCATGAGCATGCGCACTTTCATGAATGAGTCCTTTTTTCATAAAACCTTAATTCACGCTACTGTACACCGGCATTTAGAAAATACATCATAGCATTTACATTCATTTCAAACGGCAAGTAAATTAAGAAAATTCAGCATTAGGTTTGGCCGTCTCTACCGTTATCACATGAGTACTGTATGCTCAGAACTGTCAAAGTAATAATTCAGAAAAAACAAACCTCTTCAAGAGTGAGGTGTTCCCCAACCCTGAACTGAAATACCGCTGTTCATAACTTTTACCTGTTATCTCTCTTTCGGTTCAGTTTCACGGCAAAAAGGCACTCTACACTTTGTGACGACAAATCCTCATCAAGTTTTGTGAAATTCCATCTCCATTCTACCATTCTACTTGTACCAGATTTGGCGAGCGCGAGTTCACTTCATCAAAAGTACATTAATCAACAGAAACCATGACTCCACGATGGCGATCGAAGAAGGGAACAAACAGTCAAGGAAACATCACGGGAATCGTGGACGATTATGATGTTGCTAGTGCAATATAACCTACTGACGCCCAGATTTCAACATACCTACTTTGGAATTGCCCTGATGTAATGCTACTATTAATATCGTTTGACAATGATGGGGGCCAACTTCACAGTGCGCGTGCGCAGTACCGCCCTGTAAACGTGCTTGGTTCCCGGACCAGTTTTTTCCGAAAAACCTCGCCGCCGTTGCGTCGTATGTATACAAACTAGCAAATGCTGAGAGGTAAAAGCAAACAGCAGAAGCATTTACATTTGAGTACTATTTCTTTTGCTGTTCAGCATCCAGACAGCAGGTTCAAATGCTAACTTATTGGATAGATTGCACGGACGAATGGTTGTCAACGATAGGGTATCCTGTGTGTGTGTATGAATACGCACACACAGGGTTTACGTGCAGGGTTACCGAGTCCAAATCATCAAGGTGGTACATACAGTTGAGCCTAATTTAATTCAACTCAAATGATATATTTTCACAACTCACAGAGTGCAAAAAGTACTTTCATGAAAAACGTACAGCGCAGTGTGGACGAAGTTACAGTTGCCTTAAAAATATTTATACACCCAGAAACATATCTCGGCCGGTAAAATCACACAAAAAATGTGATATTTAAAAATAATATGTTATTATATTACTGAATAAAGTGGACGCTTATATCATGTCGTTATGTTCCTGATTGCCGTCTGAAGCATTCACCCCATTTCATTCATGATTTTCAGTTAAAGCCTTTGCTTCATTTTTATCCACATATTGGTAGTAAAACCAAAACTTCTGGGATCATACACAAAAGAATGTCATCCAGCCCTCACATACTGGGGAAATGTTCTATTCTAATGAAATTAAACCCCATTTTTTTACGTCATAGGGCGCACTTTCAAAAGAAAAACATATTAAATTTTACACTGCAAATAAGTATAAAAGTACATGTTTGTTTTATTATGTTCGGAAGTGCATTATGCTATCACTGTCAGTTGAGGGCGCATTTTCTGTGATGTAACTTGTGGGCATAGACTGGTCAAGTTTAGGGATTTAAGTACACAAAGTGTGAGTCCATGATGTTGCTCAAGAAGAACATTCGACAGTCGTGTACAGATTAGAAACAAATGAATCAGCAGTTACAGAAAGTTGCTACGGCAGAAATTTAAATGCCGGCAACCCTTAGCGCTCAAACATCTGTGACACTGAGGCCTCTGCCTGAACCTCGTCCCCAGTGTCTAATATATTTTAAAACGTCATTTTCAAAAGCAGCGCTCGAAATAATGGGAACAAGGTGGCCACTTGGTTCATAAATTATGACACCATGTGTTAGTCATGAATATGCAAACTTGTACTAGCATTAAATCAAACATATTTATAGCCCCGAACAAAACATCAAATCAAGCAAATCAAACAAATAGTAAAATTCAACACAAGTGTGCTCTTGAAGTAAATGCATTTTAAAAATCTGACTCGTGTAAAAATCGGACTTCTTTTCCCTTTTATTGGTTAAACCCTCTCACGTTATCGGTCCTTCTCCTAATAATATGCTTGAGCATGCGCAATGAGTCCGTATTTCACAAAACCTAAATTCACGCTACAGCGGCATTTAGAAAATACATCATAGCATGTACATTTATTTCATGCGACCGTAATTAAGAAAATGTATCGTTGGATTTGACCCTTCACTACCTGAATAACATATGCTCAGGGCTGTCAAAGTTATAATTCAGAAAACAAATCCTTTCAGGAGCAGTGTCCACTGCCCCCCCCCCCCGCCCCGAACAGAAAATACCCCTGTTCATATCTTTTACGGCCTACCTGTTAACTCTCTTGCGGTCAGTTTCACATCAAAACTGCACTCTAAACTCTGTGACGACAAACCCTCATCAAGTTTTGTAAAATTCCATCTCCAATCTTCCTTGTACTAGATTTGGCGAGTTTACTTCATCCAAAGTACATTAATTAGAAGAAACCAATTATCAAGACTGCACCATGGAGATCGAAGAAGGGAAGAAACCGTCCTGGAAAAATCGCGAAATCGTGCACGAATATGATGTTGCAAATGCAACGTTCCCTATTTACGCCCAGTTTTCCCCACACTTATTTTGGAATTGCCCTGATGTAATGCTACTATTAATATTTTCAACAATGGGGGCAACTTCACATTGCGCGTGCGCAGTACCGCCCTGTAAACGTGCCTGGTTCCCGGACCCTCCATTATCGATTCTGAATTCGAACGGAGCGGGAACCAGTCATCCAAAGAACCCCGCCGCAGAAGCGTCGTATGAATACAAACTAGCAAATGCTGGGAAGTACAAGCAAACAGCTGATGCATTTACATATGAGTGAAATTCTTTTGCTGTTCAGCATCCAGGTAGGAGGTAGCAAATATTGATTTATTCGGTTGAGTACCGGGACGAATTAGAATAAATCTGCTTTATCATTGATATGTAAATGAGACACGGTAGAGTGGTTAAGGGCGCGTAATTTGAATAGGGAGTGGCACAGGAATGTGTGCGTGGTTGGATTGAAGGTAGATCACTTCACGCTTGCGAGCAGCAACGACAACACACAATTTTTAACACAGTTGTTAAGTCTGGTTGTAATTTCATAGTTGTTCAATGTCTCAAACAGTATTTATAAGAGACGAACATTGCTACCCTTGCCTGAAGGAGTTGTCTTGCATAGTTCAGGTGTACGTTTCCATTTTTCCAAATATGGTTTTGGTTTTTCGTATCTGGCAGTCAACACAGCAATGTTAGATGGGGTACAATTCCAGAAACAGCCATAATGTAATAGATGAGTGGTATCTTGCGATTATTCAATTAAGTTTAGCTAAAGGCTCTGAAGCCTAAAAGGAAAGTTCTGTGAAACTTAAAGGTTCAAATGAAATCCACAAGTGGCAATCAAGGTATGGTCGGAGTAGTTTCTGACGGAGGTATAAAACGAGATTTACAGGTTGGCAGTAAGATTCATAAAGATCAGATCTACTAGATGAGATGCTAAAATTGTTCTAGCGATCTAATGCGTTCAGAACGCAAACAAGTCTGAATAGACATGCACCATAGTATGCGTGATTTATCCTCAGCGGAAGATATCTGGTATTGTACAAAACCAAAAGAGATAATTCTGAAAAGCTTGTCTTAATATAATATCAAATGTGGAACGATTATTCAGAAATAACCATGACAATTGTAAAGAGGAGGGAAGTCTCAAGGTTAATTCTAGTATTGATTACGCAAATATGATAAATGAAAGGCTCTTACGCCTAAATGATAGACCCTAGTTCTGTAAATATTGTCTCCATCAAGACGTCTTTAAGGTTCAAATGATTGAATGACCGTTATTAAAACACTGTCGTACCTGGTAGTCATCACAGCGATGAGACAAAACATAATATCAAATGGGGTACGAATAATTAGAATTAATCATAACAATTGCAAAAAGAGTGTTGTCTCAGGTATAATTCTGTATAATTAATTGATCACTTAAATGTGTCTATAATGAAAGGCTCTTACGCCTAGATAATAGATGATAGTTCTGTAAATACTATCAAGTCTTTAAAGGTTCGAATTATTGAAAGATGTAATTAAAACATTGGGTCGTCGTACCCGGTTGCTGCTGCAAGCACAAATACCAAAATCAGGATGATTTGATTGTTTATTGTGTAGAATGGTGTTGAAATGATAAATGCTAACTTATTGGATGATTGCACGGACGAATGGTTGTCAACAATAGGGTCTCCTGCGTTTGTGTGTGAATTTCCACACACGGGGTTTACATGTAGGGTAACCGAGCCCAAATCAACAAGGTGATATACAGTACAGTAGTTAATTTGTGCCTTAAATCCAACTCAAATGATGTATTTTCACAATTTACGGAGTGCAGAAAGTACTTTCATAAAAACATAAACTGCAGTGAAGACGAAGTTACAGTTGCCTACATTTCTTCACCCAGAAACATATTTCAGCTATTAAAATCATACTAAAAATGAAATGTTGAAAAATCATATTGTATTATGTCACTGAATAA